CTAACAGCATTCTTATTTACTAAACTACTTGTAAACCATGGGAAAGAAGTGAGGAACTTTTGCAAATTCTCCTCCTTACACCCTCCCCCACCACCCAAAACTTTGCCTTTATCAGAACGAAGCCCCAATGTTAACTGGAATGAGCCACTGGCTGGCTGGGCAGTGTCCCCAGCTGCAAGATGAATGTTGCTTCCAAGCTCTTTTATGTTGCAGTTGGTTGACAGGGTGGTGAAGGCTGCCATGCCCAGTGGCTGAAGCAGCTGAATGGGCGATGCGATGGGGTGGCATGAGGCAGAGAAGGACACTGAGCAGAGTGGGAATAGACCCACCCACGCCACAGCTCTGCCTTGGCTAATGGTGTGACCTTGCACAAGTCACTTTCCTTCTCTGGCTCTAGTTTTCTGATCTGGGAAATGAGTTAGGCCAGAGGATCTCCCAAGTCTCTTTCACCTGCGAGAACCTGGGATTCTGTAAGAAACATAATTTTCATGCATAGGTATACACAGCATGATTAGATCAGCTGATATTTTTCAAGACCAATGGTTACCCTCAGCTTTGGACGTTAGCCACATCAACATGTAAATGTCCTTCTCGGTTGCTTTCAAATTAAATCATTTCAGTCTATCTGGATTTGAATCTCCCTGAAGGGCATGGGAAAAACTAGGTGACCCCTCACCGGGACTGTGATTGACGGACAAGGTAAGGAAGGTGGTGGTTCCTGGGATGAAGTGCCTTTGGTTCTTTGTGGTTCTAGGCCCCATCGCTGCATCCGAAGTTGCCAGTCGTATTCAACCTTTAGCTCTGAGAATTTCTCTGTGTCCGATGGCGAGGAGGGAAATACCAGTGACCACTCAAACAGTCCTGATGAGTTTGCTGATAAACTTGAAGGCCGCCTGGCAGAGAGGCTCGATGACCTGCTGTCCCAGACGCCGGAGATTCCCATCGAGATCTCCTCGCATTCAGATGGGCTCTCTGACAAGGAGTGTGCCGTGCGCCGCGTGAAGACGCAGATGTCTCTGGGCAAGCTGTGTGTGGAGCAGCGTGGCTACGAGGTGCGGGCCTCTCCTTTCTTCTCCTCTCGGCACTGTTCCCTTCCTGTAGCTCTTTTGAGTTATAACGTGCCTGAGTCCTGAGGTCCTTTACAATGATCACTGAGTATATGAGATACAACAACTGCCTCCAAGTAAGTAAAAGTACACAGAGCAACAGAGCTCCTCAAAATGAGGGTAGAGCTCCCAAATGAGGCACAAACATTGAATGGCTCAGGAACCCTCCCTTCCAAGATTGAACTCCAACATCACCTCCTCCTGGCCTCATCGCCCAATCTGGTGAAGGGTATGAATGTCCCTCTTCCCTGTCCCCACTGCCCTCTAATGAGGCTATCATAGCACAGGTACCACTTTAGTTCATGGTCAGTACTGCCTTTAGAGAGGCAGGATAGCACAGGGGTTGAAATTGTGTTCCCTGGAATCTGACTGCCCAGATCAAACCCCAGCCTTTCCACTTACTTACTGTGTGCTGTTGGGCAAGTCACTTAAATTCTCCATGAGTCAGTTTTCTTATCTGTAAAATGGGTATGGTAACAGCATCTATCTCATGGGGCTGTTGTAAGGATTAAATGGATTAATAATGGGCTCTCTGACAAGGAGTATGCCGTGCCTGGAACATAGTAGACGCTGTACAGTGTGGTTGTGGTGGTACTGTTATCATGGTCATAATCGTTGTCATGAACATCATCTTTACATGTCTTCTTTTTCCATAAGCCCCACCAGGACAGGACCTAGTCTCATCTTTGTAGCCCAAAGCCTGTCATGTGGGAGGTGTTCCATATATGTTTACTGAGTGGTTGCAAACATGAACTAAGGTTTTATTTTGTCTTGACTTTGCAGAATCCTATGCAGTTTGAAGAATCAGACTGTGACTCTTCAGATGGGGAGTGTTCTGATGCCACAGTGAGGACCAATAAACACTACAGCTCTGCTACTTGGTAATGAGAGGACACCCATCCTGAAGATGACGTGACAATACTGATGTTTCAGATCCGCCCCACCCCGATTCCTCCCGCTCTCCCCCTGCCTTTTTGTCTGGGAAGAGAGCTGCCCCATCTTTCTTACCCCTAGAAATAAGCTGCAATAACAGGAACATGAGACTTCGCAAATCTCTGGAAAAAAAATATCCAAATGAAACTAAGTCTCACTGAACATTTCAATCAAGAATGGCAGGGATCTATTTTATTGAATATTCTAGCTACTGTAACATTGATATTTATTTTTGTTTGACATTTTAACACTTTGTACTGTAAAGATTGAACTATATATGATAGAGAGAGAGACAATAATTTCTTGCAAAAAAAAAGAGAGAGAAAGGAAGAAAGAAGTGGAATTTAGAAGCAACATTCTTGGTAATTTGTGGGGCCAAGAGGTATTATTATTGCTACTTGAACAGGGGACCAGTTCTTTTGACCATAAGTGACTGAAGAAGAGCCAGAGCAAGACATGTTGAGCATTTTAGAAAACAAAGGACAGCAAAAGAAAAGCAATTCCGGGTAACTTGTGAACAGACCACATTTAAGTTCAACCAGCTTATCCTTTGGGTGATGAAAATTATCTAGAAAAGTTTGGTAACCAGATACTTGCACCCAAGGTCTTTGAGGGCATGTGCTTCCTCTAGGAGGAAAAAAAAACTGTATATGTGAAAACTGGTTTCATTTTTATTTATTTTAAGCAGCATTTAGTTGTGAGACTTATGGATAGAGTCGAATCTTCCTTGACAAACATTTACCTTTTAAATGCTGTCATTGCCATTACCTTGACAAATGTGTGACCTTGACCAACGTGCCATTTCCTCATAGCCATTTCCGTTCCACCTGGTGACCACTTCCTTTAGGAAAAAGGGGAGGGCTGAGAAGAAGAGAAGGATAAGAGAAAAAGAAAACTGACCACAGTGTTAGAAAAGCAAACGTGGAATTTGTAAAAGTACGTTGTCAGAACCTCTCAGTTCCGCTCGTCCAGAAGGTGGAGCTAGCCGTCTGTGGAACCAGGTTGCTTGTCTACTAGAGTCATATTGATTCAAACAGGAGAACAGACTTTGAAGGCAGCTAGGGTGTGTGTGAGTCTGTCCAATGTCCAATCACAAACCATTCCCTTGTTTTTACTTATTAACTCATTCTATCCTGTAAGCTTTAGTGACTGGCTTCCACTATCAGAATAAAGGCAAAATAAGCAAGTTGCAAAAGACACCCCCCACCACAATATCCCAGCACAATAGCATTTTTGTTCAAAGCTGTTTGTGAAAGGTATTTTACTTTTCTTCGGATCAACGCAGTTTTAAATCATTGGATTTGGGAATTTGTGCAAAGAACAACTGATGCTGAGCAGCAATTGGGAAGATTTTGCCTTTTCCAAAGCATGAGGTCCTTCCTATCCAGGGTCATGGGCTCTGAAAAGCATGCCAAGGTACATCATGGTACCTCAGCTGTAAGCCAATTTTTATGTAGAATTTTATATAAAAACAGATATCGGCCTCGTTCCTGTCTCTGTCTCCAAGATAGATTACTGTCAAACAATGTCTCTAGGCTCAGAATCTAAAGGCGATGGCTAGAGTCTTGGACATGGCATCATGTTGGACATTAGGAACGACTTACACATATTGGCATTAAACCATTCCAGTGCAGGTGGAAACGTTGCCCTCCGCTGGGTTTCACCGATTGCATCAGCCAAAAAGGAAAGGCAGGAGGGAATTGAGAGCAGTTCCTTTTGCTTGTCTGATCCCTCATTTGTTTACAATTTATGTTGAGGTATTAATTTAAAATTTACTGTCTTTTAATTTATAGCTCTTAAGTAAGATGAAGGAAAATGTCTAACTTATACAGAGAACAGTATTGTTTGCATTAAATTATTCCATTTTGTATACATTCTGTAGCTGGACTACATGAAAGATCTTAAGTTATGGCATTATTATCATTGTTATTTTATTTTATAATAATTATTGTCATTCTCATTTTCTGTCGATCAGAAGGTGTGGTTTACAGTGTAGCACAATGATTGTGTTTATCGCTAACCATGAATTACCGTGAATTTTTATGATTTGTATGAAGGAATGAAAATGAGACTGCCACTTGGGAGCTCTCCAGTATTCATCTTAGGTGCATTCCCTCATTTTCTGTGTGCAACAATCACCTGAGGACGTGTGCTCTGCCCTGGAGCCCAGTGGGCCATGGTGACTTTGACTTGATCGTGGAAGCTCCTGGGTGGGCAGATGACTGAGTGGATGGACAAATAGTTCAAAGGCTGTAATCTTTCTCAAGTTTCTTAAGAAATAAAATCATGAGACTACACTAGAAGCAAAAAGAGAATTATTTAATTCCCTAAGAGGCACAGACATAGAGAATTTCTGCATGGGGCCCATGGGCTAGAGAGTTCCAAGAACTGGTAGCATAGTTTGTCATCTTGTTCCTGCAAGATCCCACAAAACCAACCTGCTTTCTCCTAGTTGGGAGTAGCAGAAAAACTAATATATATATATATAATGACATAAAATAACTAGCTGTGATGTCATCCTATAACAAGACTAAAGAAATTCTAGAAAGGCTTGGTCACTTAGCGGCTCTTAGGGCTGGAAAAGTACTACCTTGAAGAGCCCTATTTTGCATCCTCCGACTTCAGACCACACTATACTATGAATCTCTCTGGGTCATTACTTCTGGGAAAAGATAAGCTACAACTCTGTGTCCGCTTTCTGTCCAACATAAAACACTGACACTTCAGCTGGTCTGGTTCTTGCCCACCTGTGGTGGCAAAAAAGAAACATGACGGTCAATGTCTGTCTTATATCTCCCAGTCACGATCTTCCTAGGAAACCCCCACCTGACACCTCATATTCTTAATAAATTTCCTGATTTCCCATCTTGACTGTCTGTCATGACAGTGCCATATACCTACCTGGGATAACTGTATGAGCATGTTAGGGTCATATACAGCATTGAATCTTCAGTCATTCACTGCATGGTCAGGAGTTTAATAAAGTTCCACATTAAACATTATGTTTATTTTTCAGTAGAAGTGACTAGGGGCTTCATAGAAGAACAGTGTCTTTAGGTCAAAAAGAGAACTGCCTTCTCTATCCCAGCCTTGCCCCTTATTGCCTGCCTGAGGTCCCAGGACAATTTTGAGCTGGTGTGTTTGAGAACTCTTCTGAAGAGCAGTGAATCAAGAGCTCAGGAAATTTAAAAACTAATTCTTCAGTCCTGATGACTATGAACCTCACAGGACTGTGATTTCAAGCTTCATTGTTGATCGAAAGTTTAACCCCCTTGGGATGAATGTCCACATTCATTTAGCATCTGTTTTTGACTGACTGCAAGATAATGCGTTTTAATTTGGGTTGCAGATGGGCATTTGTTTCTGATTTCCATCTATTTCTAGATGTCTTCTGAATAACAATTCCTCTTCAAATTGCTTAGCAGATGTTGAGGTATTTTGGTTAAAAACAAGGCTGATGGAGTGCTGGCTGCGTAGGGCAAAGGGTGCATTTGGGGGTGTGGCACCAGGTACTGCAGGTTCCAGTCTCCACAGAACCTGAGGCTCGGCTGGGAAGGGGCCCATGGCAGAAGGTGAGCCCTCTTGTCATGCATACTTGTTTCTTACAAACTAAGGTTCACAGTCTACTCAGCTCTAGAACAGAAACGTATAGGTTAAGCCGTCCTAGTGCCACTAGCATTTTGCAGCTACACATGTAAAGCTCTAGGAAGCTTTTCTCACGTTCCAGAAGGGGCAGGGGTTGGTGGCAGTGTTAACCTTTAGCCTCCTTAGTGCCCTCTCACAGGAGGACACTGCCTGAGGCAGGTGCTAGTAGTGGAGCTAGGGAAAGATCATCTTATTGTCTTCAGGGAACCGCACTCCCCACCATTTCTCTTTTCTCAATGCTGGTAAAAGGTGTGCTTTCAAGGCTGCCCAGCCACACTTTGCTCCATCCCCCGCATGTTGAACCTTTGCACATTGACAGGCTTGTGGAAGTAGAGGCTAGTGAATAGCAGCGAGTGTCAGGGAAGATGCGCTTGGTTCAGTTACCTGAACGGCACTAATGAAGCTCTTTACAAGGCCTGGGAGTCCCAGGCTACCTGTTCAATGTTTTGTGCTTTGTCAGACCTTGCAAGCAAGCCCCTTTGTCAGGGTGGGTCAGATGTCCTGGAGCTGGACCACACCTGAAGAATTCTTGTCCTCACTGGCTGGTGGGCAGGACTCCTGAGAATGGTTTTAGTCCTGTAGAATCAGGAGTAGCCAGATGATGCTGAGTTGATGTCATTACTGCAAACTTCTCTCTCTTCCTGAAAAACTAAGAATGTGGAGTTTAAGGGGGGAAAAAAGAATTTTTTTTAATAAACCTGGTTGAAGAGTTATAAATAAATAAATAAATAAATAAATAAATAAGTTGCTTAGCAGAGAAACTAAGAAGCCTGCATCCACTTTGAAATTATAATAGGCTTTAAAGTTTAGATCTATTTGGAGGATGTGGGGAGCACCTACTCAGAAAAGAGAAGTCGCTAGCTCTGTTGTAAGATGATCTGGAATGGCCTACTTGAAGTTCAGGTATTTTAAAAGTTCAGTATCAACAAATCCATTCTTTAAGAATTAAGGATATTTTTAGTACTAGATATCCATTTCAGGGATTCTTTGTGCTAAATTTCCCTCTTGCCCTAAATAATGGATTTGATGGTTTGGGTTTTTCCTGGTACCAACCAATTTTAAAAGCCCGCCCACTGAGGAGCATTGACATCCTTTCAGTGTAAGTGCATTCTTATTGATCAAGTAATTTACTCTTGTTCCCCTGTCCCCTTATGTCTCATTTGTTTCCCCTTAAAATGTTCCTGCTTGAAGTTCCTGGAACTGAATTCTCCAAAATGGGACATAACACTTGGAAACCTAGGAATTCCCGCTCTGCTCTGCAGTAGTGCGCTATTATTTTGTTTTGCCACTAAGCCAGAAACCAAAATACCACCACCTACAATCTACACTCTAAACACCCAAGACCAACATTACTCACTGCTCACCATGTTCAGAGCCTCTTACAACACAGCATGGGGAGCAACAACTACCACTTGTTAGAATGGCTGTGCAGGGAGAGATGTTTACCATCCCAGCTCTAAGCTCATAATTAGTTTCCTAACAGTGGTTTGAGATCTGGAGTTAGCCCCGATGGGAAAATGACAGGTCACACCAGTGTTCTCCTTATGGACCCCACCCTATGGCTCTCAGGGGGCAGCACCATCGGCAGGAAAAGGCCACCTGCCTCCACCCCTGCCCTTTGGGACTACAATTCCAATTGAATCATCTCCAATTGCTGACAAATTGAATTCCAAAATGTGTCTCTTCACTCACTTTATTTCATTGTGTTAAATAAGCACGTTCCTCCCTCACCTTCTATACACACTTAATATGTTAAATCCCAGTTACTAATGTATCAAAACAATGTGACATTCTTTTTAAGACCTTGACTTGTACTGTCAGTATGAATTTAGTGCCTTTCCGGGTCACAAGATTTTCCTTCCTTGCAGATTTCATAGAGTAAGTGTCCTAGTATATTCACACCACCAATGTTACCAACAGACTAGCACACAAGAATCACATTAGTCTGCTTGTTTGCATGTTACAGCCAATAGTGCAAGCACCTATTCAAACGGAATGAACTAGACTGCTGAGTAGAGGACCCCTGTGGAAGCTGGAACACTTCTCTGGGACAGGCGGCAGAAGAGGGGAGCTCTGCAATCACTTCTCTGAGAAAGAGGGTTACCCCAAAGAAGTTAGGGCTTTGACTAACTGTCACATGACCAGAGCATGATGGCAGGATTTCACACGTTGGCAAGGCCACTGTAAGGAAACTCCTGGCAGAGTCACAGACCTACTCTCCAGCCACTTCACAGCACCAGGGAATGCTGGCTCCTGGCTGCTGCCGTGACCAGGAAGGCGGGGTCCTCCAATGGTTGTCCGGAGGAGGGAACCCCAATCAGAGTACACACGCTATTAGGAAGACGTCCCTTACTATGTCACCCAGAGAGCTCTTCTGACTCCGGAAGTGGGAAGACTCACTTCGATTCTTTATTGCAATAATCTGAGTTCCCTATCAGTTTGGAACAAATTATCTTCTTTTTTGTGGTCAGGTCTTAAAATGAACCCCCTCCTCTGTTTCCCTGTGGTTGCAGTCCTGTTAGTTCCTCTACACCTTGTTGGTTTGATGCCAGCTCGCTTTGCACCAAACAATGGTACAGCAATGGGAACAAGAGCGACTATCAAAGCAAACAAATGCACGGAATTAAACAAAAAGTGTACTTCGCTGTCTTTTGGTCGTCTTTTCCTAAAGGTACTGGTTGTCTCCTGAGAGCCACCGTCACAAATCTCAGCATGTCAGAACTTGGGGAAAGGAGGACGTCACACGACTGGGTTTCCTGCAGCCAGAAAAAGCAACTGATGGCAAAGCCGGTCTCTGGGGCTCTTGCTGGACACATCACAGAAGGAAGAGAGCACCGCTGTTTTGTTATAGTCTCTTCTTGGTTATTCTGTCATAGCCTAGACAGGCGCTCTGCTTCATCCCTCTGGTTTCCCTGCTGCCCACCTTATAGTCAGTAAGTGTTACTAGTTACCCTACTATCAATTGAGCAGAGAGAGGGGAACGGTGAAAATGAGAGTGTGGCTTCTAAAAAACAATGTTGGTAAAAAGCCCGAGAGTGGAGAGCTGGAACACCGTTTTGGACTGATTCTGACTCCCACTGGTGAGGGAAATTGAAAGTTAGCAACATGTACAAACACATACCACACAGAGCATTTATAGCCTTTATTTGGGAGCTTGCTTTGCCTGTAAACTCACAGCCGATAAGGCACATTGTTGCAAGATCATGGGGGAGGAGGGAGAGAGGGTCCTGGTAAAGGACAAAGTGGGACAGCGTCCTGGTCCTCCCTCCCTCCCCGACTCCAGGAGCAAAGAGCCACAGGTTTCCAAGTCCAGGTGGCCTCCTCTTCGCCCCCACCCTGTTATCAAGCTTCTTTTAAAGCAACACATCTTTAAAAATTAAGTTCTTCTGTTTTTGTTTTGTGTGTTTTCTTTATCATACTAGTCCAAAAAACAATGCTTGGGAATTCATTCTCAAGAATTCATGTAGAACAGGTGGCCTAGATCAGGGGTCCTCAAACTTTTTAAACAGGGGGCCAGTTCACTGTCCCTCAAACCGTTGGAGGGCCGGACTATAGTTTTAAAAAAAACTATGAACAAATTCCTATGCACACTGCACATATCTTATTTTGAAGTAAAAAAACAAAACGGGAACAAACACAATATTTGTATTTGCATGTGGCCCGCGGGCCGTAGTTTGAGGACCCCTGGCCTAGATTAAAGCCCTGGCAAGATTCTTGGCCAACCCAAATCCAAAACCCAGCAGACAATGCACAAACGCACCATTCTGGTGACAAATATGAGTTACTCCTGTTGGGTACAGGGTCCCAGAGCTGGTCAGTTTAGGAGCCAAGCTCCTTCTGTCCTTGGAAGAATGAAACCAGGGCTGTGCCAATGCAGTACTGCTGCGCTAGGAAGCAACGACAGCTGCAGACAATCCAAACACACACAAGAAACCCCAAACCAAGTTTTCCTCTTAGAATTAAAAGATAAAATATCATTATTCCTCAGTTATTCTTGGCAAATGACAAATTGAGAAACATTCAGAGGGCAATATCTGGGGGTACTGCACCCATTCTCCTAGCAGGAGGGAGAAGGGGTTCCCACACAGAAAGCACAGATTAGAAAATGTACTGATGGTCATTTGGTTCAGGGGAATCAAGGGCCCTGCGCTGTCCGGAGGGATGCGAGTTTCTCCAGCGCGTATCCATGGCATACAGAGTGTGCTCGATTCATATTTAATCATCTGTCTGCAACCAAGAGGAAACCTGACATACATGGCAACCTCGGGGTGTCTGAACACAAAGCGCATTGCAGAAGTCACTGTGCATTTAAACTGTACACAGACGTTCTAAGCAGCTTCTTTCCCTTGGCTTATGGAAGAGGTAGGTCATCCGCAAAGAAGAACAGAAGGAACACCTGTCACTACAGCCTATCACTTTGCAAAAGAGGCACTCTGGACAAGAACAGTCGGCATCCTCTCCCAAGGCAGCTCTGGGCTTGGCAAGAGGCAAATAAATACAAGACTATCCTGAGCTCCCTGTTACTCGATAAAATATAACCAGGGTTTTCTGAGCAGCTATCCAGTTCACAGAGTGTCCTACTGAACCAGGGCTGCTTTGAGAACCTGAAGTAACTCACCTTCTACAGCACAGTGTCCTTCATGACGAGACACTGCGCCCGGATGAATACTGTCCAAGCCACCCGTTGAGGGTAATTAAAAAACAAGGAGGGGCTGTAGAGGACCACACCCATGACACACAGAAGCAGTAGAGTCCAGGGACACACAACCAAAACAATCCAGATCACATGGCCTTTCTGCCGTTTAGATGACTGGCATTGCTTGTTTCGTTCAAATGCAGGTCTTTCTGGCTGAACTTTTTTATGAGGGTTCCAGGAACTAAGGCCACCAGAGCGATGGCCAGCAGCTTCAAGACAGTTTCCCAGGAGAAAAGAGCATCCAGAGAGGTAAGGGTTGACAGGATGGAGCCTGTCTGCACACAGATGAAGTTGTAGGGGATCAAACCTGGAAGAAGAAAAGGAAAAAGAAGAACATTAACTGTTCAGAAATGTCACCACGAATTCACAGCTCTTAACTCCTAAACATATTACTCTTTCCCTTCTTTTCCACTTTCTCCCTCCTTTCTTCACTTCCCACATACACCTGCCTTATTTAACAAAAGGGCTTGAGATGGTTTACAAAAACACATACACTACAATAAGATTAAACAGATGTTAACAGGAAAAACACAATGAGTGAAGAAAAAAATAAGGGAGTAGAGTTAGGACAAAAATGCATAAGGATCACCCACTTGCTAGAGGTGGGCCCCAAATTCGGTTCTGAGCAGCCAAGAGCCAAGTAAGGAGCAGCACCAGCATGATGAGACCTACAGTACACATAACATAAAAACCACCGTGTTCTCTTCATGGTCTACACTCTTTCTAAGGGGTCATCAAGTTCATTGGACCCCAAAAGTCTAAGTGGCAGCTAGACAGGCTGGTGACAACAATCTCCTGGTGAAGTGAACAAAGACATATCCTAGGGCTCCAGCCCAGAGATTCTGGTTACCTGGGTCTAAGAGAGCATCAGGAACCTGCAGTTTAAATGCCTCTCCACTCTGATTGGCTTGGGACCCCCTGATGATCCAGCCCTCTCCCACAGATGATCATAGACCTCAAGATCACAGACCACTCAAGGTTGCACAGCTTGTCAGAGGGGAGACTGGAGCTCTGGTCTCCAGAGTCCTTCTGACCTTTGTGCCACCTGGGTAATTACAGGCTGCTACCCGAGGCACTGAGGCACTCTGTCTGAAAGCTGATATGACCAGAATTAACTGTGGTTGATTTTGCTTCGTTTTAAGATCTCAATTTCTCTCAAGAATCCCCTATTAATAGCAGCTGCTCAACCACAGATTTGTTTTGTTTGACCTAGAAGCCCTGAGTATTCTTTCCATCCACACTCTAAAGAAGGTTTAAGCGAGGCAATCCTTGCCTTAGGCTTAAAGAAAATGGTTTATTTCCAGGAGAAAATAAGTCACTGACTTAATAGGGTGTTAGCACTTCAGCGTTCTGATAAAGGTGGTCCACGGCCTACACATTGAGAAACACTGGGGCCCACGGAGGCGAAGCAGCCTGCTGAAGGTCACACAACTGTCAGGAGGCAGGAAGGAACTCCAGTGGTACCTGCTCTTCCTAAGGCACATCTTAATTAAACAGGGGCCAAAGCCAGACAGGAAGTCCGCTGCTCCTGTCCCTTTTTTCTGCCCACATACCTTCCTTCCAACCCTGCTTCTCCTGCTAGTATTTCCTGAGCACCTTGCATGGGCCAAGTCATGTGCTTTATACATTATCCTCTAACCCAATGTCTTGCACAGAGCTTGGCACACCATAGGCACTAAATACAGTTGTAGGATGAACACTCCCATTTTTTCTGAAAGTCTTTTCTGAGGTTTCTTGTTCAAGCCTAAGTAGATTTGACATCAGGATTTTAGTGAACACCTGAGGATGCTCTTCGTGGGCCTCACATGCAGATGCAGGCACAACTCTGAAGACTCACTCACTCCAAAAGCTTCTTACCGATAAGCACAGAGAAGAAGAACTGCCCAATGGGGATGTTCAGAATCGGGGACGAGAGGTTCAAGAACCAGTTTGGTGTCATGGGGAAAAGTCTCAAAAACAGTAAGAAAAAAAACAAGCTGTTTCTGTTCTCCTCCACCTGTAGCCAAAGAAGACAAGGCCATTAGGAAGCAGAAAGCATCGCCGGGTGTTGAAAATCTGTTGGTGCCAGGCACTGTTCTAGATACTTTATATATTCTGTCCCCAAACCTCCCAACAACCCCCCGGGTAGAGACTGTTTTCCTTGTTTTTAAAACAGAGGTACCTGAGGCTCAGAGAAGTCAGGAATTTGCCTCAAGTCCCAGAGCTGCTAATGATGGAGCTGGGGTTTGATCCCAGGTCTGTGCCTCTTGGAGACACCAAAAGAACCCCTAGGACTCCCAGAAGCAGGCGGAGGAACATGGTAGGAAATCCCTGCCCCTCACCCCCGCCCCCAGGTCCCTGAGGTGACTATGGGAGCCCAGCACTCAGACGTACCCCGCCCCTTACCTTGCTCTGCAGCAGGGCCACTTTATCAGGAAAGTAGGAGACCACTAGCTGTTTGCCAAACATACTGGAAAGCAGGTAGCAGCACGTGGCACCCACCGAAGTCAACACACAGCACAGCAGAAGCCCCAGCCACGGCCCAAACAAAGCACCGGCTAAAACGTTCTGCAAAGAAAACAAATCCTCAGCCACCAGCACATCTGGCAGCTACCAGTCCTGGAGGCCGAGTCGTGAGTTCCCGACACCCTTCTGGCCCAAACCCAACTCCCATTTTAAAGAAGTGAGTGAAAAGTGATGAAAGAGCTGAGAACTACAACCCTGGCTTTGTGCTCTTCACCTTTAAACCAGGGATGAGGATTAAGACCTCAGAGGGCAGGAAGAATTAAAGGACAAAACAGGAATATACAGCACCCAGCCTGCCGTGTACATCCTGCAAACATGGATGCTCCGAGAAGGCAGAACTGAAACTCACAAGTTATTTTTACCCCTTTATATGAACACAAATAATGGATTTTTCCTCAGTAAGACCACACAAGCTATATAAGATGTCTTGTTTCTATGTGGTATGCTAATACTTGGCAGGAGGGGGGGGTGGGGGGGGTGGGGGCGGTTCATGTTGACCAGAGATCTAGGTGACACTCAAAAAAGTCTTAGATTAACAAAAATGATAAAGTGAGCTGATACGTCCTAAATGTAATTTGGCTGGTTAACATCATCCTGCCAAATGTGGGATACAAGACAGAAAGTAAAAGGGGCCTGGCCGGCATGGCTCAGTGATTGAGCGTCAACCTATGAACCAGGAGGTCAGGGTTCTATTCTCAATCAGGGCACATGCCCAGGTGGCTCGATCTCCAGTAGGGGGCATGCAAGAGGCATCCAATTGATGATTCTCTCATCATTGATGTTTCTCTCTCTCTCCGTCTCCCTTCCTCTCTGAAATCAATAAAAATATATATTTTTTAAAAAGTAAAAGGGGACTGTGGAAGTGAGGAGGTGAGGGTCTACTGAGCACGTACATGTGTTATGCTTGACTACATGTCTTATTTAATCCTCACTATGACCCTGTGTCATATGCTATCCTTACCCCATTCTGTGGGTGAGAGATTAAGTATCGTGCCCAAGATCACACTAGGCACAGACGAGATCCAGGTGGCAGCTGGCTCTTTGCCCTAATGAGGGATCAGCTCAAGTGACAAGGCAGGTACCCAAACTCCACACACCTCCCCCGCCTCTCTTGGCATGGACACATTTGTTTTTCTTCCAGTTTCCAACGAAGAAACTGCTTAAGCAGACCCAGCCTAAGCCTGTAGTAGTGAAAAGAGGCTGGGGCAGGAGAGAGAGAAGCAGGCTATCCTGCTCCATCACTCAATCATTCAACAAGTGCTTGAGTGCCACTGCGTGCCAGGCCCCATCACCATGCCAGCCACTCTACACCTACTCTTCCCACGCAACAACCCTAGGGGTTACATAGAAGTATCCTGTTTTATAGACAAGGAAACAGGGCAGGGGAGGTTAAATGGCTTGCCCAAGGTTGCATAGCTGGGATTCAAACCAACCCCATGCCTATAGATATAAAATGCTGCTGGGAGGAGAGCACAGTCTTCTGTATAAACTGAGATGGCAACTGATGAGAAGCATCCAATAGCCGGAGAACGAGCTCGGGTCTAAGACTGTGGCTGGAAAATCAGAATGACTTGTTCTCTCCACATCAGAGAAACTTCCCGATCCTCCATCGCCTAACATCACCACAAACAATTTGCATTTGTTCATTAAACACTTACGAAGACACCTCCCTATGTCAGGCAAAGGAATACAAGTGCTGAGAATAAGAAACAGGTCCTAACAGGTCCTATCCTCAAGGAACTCAGGAACTCACAGACAAAAAACAGATGGGGCGGGGAGTGGCCTCAATCAGAGGGACTTGGGCCCCCCGAAAACAGATTGTTTTTTGAAAAGTCAAAAGCAGTGCCAAAATGCAGAACATCCTGGGGGCTGTGAGGAGGAAGAGTTGACCCAGCCCAGGGTACATCTGTATGTCTCCCAAGGACAGTGCGCCATGGCTCTTGGTGCCTCCGAAACAAAGGCAGCAAACCTGAGAGGAAAGGCAGGCCCTGGAGCTGAGCGGAAGCAAGTGCAGCTCCCAGCCCTACCCCCTCCTCGCCTTGTCCCCTTGGACAGTAACGTAACTTCTCCCCACACGACGAGGCTGTTGGGAGCATTAAATAAGGTCATGCAGGTAAAACAACTAGGACAGTGCCTGCCACAGGAGAAGCTGTCCAAACAGGGTAGTCACAGTAGTCTGTCCTCTGAACTGTGTGATTTGCAGCCTACGGACCCCCCTACAGAGACAGAAGGAGGCTTCCTGACAGGCACAGAGGAGGACAGGGCACTGACCAGGAAGCTGGAGCCGGGGATGGCAAAGCACTGTTTGTAGAGGTAGGCACTGCAGAAGAGCAGGAACACGTAGGCCTGGTGCTCCCTCCGGTAGTCTCGAAGGACCTCGGAGAGCTCCCGCAGCTCAGCCAAGTCGGAGGGGAACCACAGGGACCTGGGGATTTGGAAAAGCAGATGGAAACGTGAGTCCAGATCAGCCCAGGACCTATGAAAGTTACTCAATGTGTCTTATAAATGTGCTCATCTTCTGGTCTGCTGAGAATATACACATGCTGGGAGCTCCAGGTGGTGGGTGACCTGATACAACACAGCAGAGCAGACAGAAGAGCCCTGGTGTGGAAGCAAGGGAGATGGGTCAGCACCTGGACTCTGCTGCTGTCCAGCTGTGTGATCTTGGGCTAGTCCCTCGGCTCAGTTTCCTTATCTGAAAAGGAGGCTCAGTGTTGGATAATCACTAAGTTCCCTTTCACCTCTCAGGTTTTATGGTCTATTCTTAAGAAGCAAATGGATAAATTTCCAGGCAAAGACTAAACGTCCTAAATTGACTTTCTTTCAAGGAGCACCCCCCCCCCCAAACTTTAGGCCAAGGACAAGTCAATCTTCCCACTGCTCCTGAGTTACTAGTTAAAAGGACTGTTTTATCAGACAGTAACAAGCCAACTAAAGATTCCCTGGGAACGTCTATTTGTCCTGCACCATAAACATGACCTTCTTGATGATACGTCAGCCTGGAAACCAATCCTTTCAAAGAGCCTGCCTTTTCACCCCGATCTTTATCTGGTCCTGGGTGCACTCTGAGTCCTGTACAAGGGTTACAGAGTAAAGGCTACTTTGCGACTGCCACCTGAGCAACCCTTGAATCCATCCATGATCAATTATTAGCAAACCCTCCTCGTCCTCAGCAAAATGTTTCTCTTAGCACATCTGACACCCACAGCAAAGCCCTCTCAGCTAGAGCAAAAGGGTGCAGTAACTGAAAACAACTGTCCTAATATTCGAATATCAGGAACATCCTACACGCAAGGCTGTGCCAGGCGTACGCCCATGGAATTTACAAACAGCAGCTCTTCCCGCAAACCAGCCGGGCCGGTATCACACCGCCTCCTGCCTCGTCCGGGCGGCAATGAGACACGGAAAGGTAGAGACAGTCAGGCAGGGGGCGGACCCGATCATCAATCCCTGAATAACCTAAAGTCCACGTTTCGGCTGACGGCCGAATGCCTTCCAGTCCCCAGGGTGGACCTAAGTGAGGTGGGAGGCTGAGAGCACTCGTGAAGGGGCTGCGGGTGCAAACGGGTGAGGGTCGGCTGCGCACGGGGGTGAGGGCTGAGCCTGGGAACGCGGTGGGAACGCGAACGGCAGGCGAGGCCACGGCGTGAACAGAGGCGCGAGGGGGCTCCGCCGGGGAAAGTGCCGCGTTTCTCTCCGCAAGTCACCAGCCCGCGGCACCGGCGCGGCCCGCAGCGCGCAGGTCCCAGCCGCCGGCCGGCCCGAGACCAGACCCCTATCGCCTGTGCTGGAACCCAAATCCCGGCCCCGTCGCCCCCGATCCCAGAACCCGAGTCTCAGATTCCCAGACCCCATCCCCGAAACTGTCTCGCTTCCTCTGACCCGAACCCCGGTCCCCGCCACGCACCTGCCTTCAGCGTCCTCGGCGGAGCCCCGTGTCGGCGCGCGGGGCAGCTGTGTCGACAGCAAGTACAAGGCGAAGGGCAGCCGACGAAGACAGGAGCAGGAGGAGCAGGGGCGCATCTCGGCGCCCGCACCCGGACCCGCGGCTGCGAGAAGCCTGGAAGCAGCGCCCGCACCGCGCCGCGCGCAGCCGGAGCCCGGGGACCGCGTTCACCGACGGACCGAGGCGGGGCCCGCCCAAGCCCCGCCCCGGCCCGAGGACCCGCCCCCAGGCCCAGACTCCGCCCCCAGGCTGAGGCCCCCGCCCCAGGCCCCGCCCCGGCCCAGACTCCGCCCCTGGCGCTGGGCCGAGATTCCAGCGGAAGCCTAGCCCCTCTCTGCTCGTTGGCCTCTTTTCCTCTCTTGACACGTTTATCTCTGTCTCTGTCTCCGCTTATTTGTAGGCTCTCTGCCAGGCCTGGGGGCGTCCAGAGGCGAATCACGAGCCCTGCCCACAGCGAGCTTGCAGTCTAGGGGTCAAGACAGAATTGTCCACAATTAGCGGTAACACAGGCTAATGCAGCCAGGTGGAAGCAGGGACTCCGGTGAGAAGGTCACAGTGGCCACGGAAATGATCAGAATTACCTTTTATTGATGCCTGCTATCATCCTCACAACAAGGTTGGTATTTTTGTCTTTATTTAACAGACGAAAACTGAATCTCAGGAGGATTGACATCCCCCCCCCCCCCCCAAAGAAAGTCAGGATTAGAATCCAAGTCAACGTGGGTCCTAAACTAGTGGCCCTATGCTGCGTGGATGAGGAGGTGGGGCTTCAATGTACCTTAAAAGTTGAGCAAGATTTCCACATCAGAGAAAGAGAGAGGTGGGGGCACAAGTAAGGCACCAGGGTCCGGGTTCAGTGAAGTCTAAGGTGTATGAAAAATGAGGGAGAAGTTAGGGACAATCTGGAAAGCATTGAAAGGCAGGCAGGCTAAGAAATTGTGCTGTTTTTTTTTAGTATTGTATATGGTGAGGCACCAGCAGAAGTGGTTCAGCAAGAGAATGATTCCGTCCCTGTGTTAGGATTCGAATACATTGAGTTGATAGTTGCAGCTGTCCTGATGATAAAGGATGCAGGCCTGAGCCAGGACCACAGCAGTGGGGATGAAGGAAGGAAGGGAGATGGACAGGCTGGGAGGAGTTGAGTTGGTAGAGCATATGACTGATTAAATGGAGCAGGGGCAGAGAGGATTCCAGAATGTCTTAAGCCTGAACAGAAAAAAATATCCTTGTCTTATCACCCAAAGCACCTTTTAGGCCAAATAGGGAGCACCTGTCAGAATTCAAAATGTACAAAGTCCTTGCAATTCTGCGTCCAGGAATTTAACCTGTAGATATTCCCCTCAATAGACAAACACGTATGTCCAAAGGTATTCTTCTCAGCTTTGCTTTGATATGAAGAGATTGGGAACAACCTAAATGTCCCTCAGTTGGGGACCAGCTAGGTTAACTGTGGTACATTCACAAATGCAACACTAGGTAGCTTCCTAAAAGAGGGAGGCGACTCTATATATCCTGACACAGTTCAGTCGTCAGATAGGGAAGTTGCAGTGTTAGAGCATATTATGACTCCTTTGCGAGAAAAAAATACATGGATACACTTTATCTTTTCAAAATACTAAAGCATGTATGAATGAAATGATTTAATGTCTTGGATTTGCATCAAAATAATGGAATGGGCCTTTTGGCTAGAACCACCATCTTCCAATAATTTCCAAAATGACCAATACAAAGGGAAAGAGGAGAGGCACCAGCGAGAGGCACTATACGTTCTCTAGGCCTTTTAGAAAACATGGAGTTGTTTCTTTGGCCACATACATCTGAATCTACAAGAAACGTGATATTGTAGACTTCAAGGGATGTCTACAAATGTTCCCTTGGCAAAACTGGGTGAGTCTACAATGTTACCCAGCATGCGGTGGGCATTGTTGTAAACAAGGGCAAGATTCTTGCCAAGAGAATTGATGTATGTGTTGAGCATATTAAGCACTCTAACAGCTGATAGTTTCCTGAAACGTGTGAAGGTAAATGATCAGAAAAAGAAGGAAGCCAAAGAGAAAGGTACTTGGGTTCAACTGAAGGGCCAGCCTGCTCCACCCAGAGGAGCTCACTATGTGAGAACCAGAGGAAAGGAGCCTGAGCTGCTGGCCCCCACTCCCTGTGAATCCACGGCACGATTTTATATATATACACACTGAGTGGCCAGATTATTATGACCGCCCATCAGTACTTCATTGACACTTCCAAAAATACTGAATATTGAAAACTTCCTAAGCAAATACTCTCAAGGTTTTATTATTATTATTATTATTTGCATAACTAATTCACTTCATTGTACTGATGGGGTGGTCATAATAATCTGGCCACTCATATATATATATATATATATATATATATATATATATATAA